GGGGGGGGGGGGTTGGGCGAGGAGAGGAACGGAGAGAGGGCAGAAGTCAAAGTATACAGAACAAGATACGGAGACAGAGATAGAGAGAAAAAAGTCAAATATATCCAGTGAATAAAGTTAACAGGTGAGAGGGAGAGAGAGGGAATGAAAAACAAGAAATTACGTTCTAGAAAGTCTCCTTATAGTCGGACCCGAGCTCAAATCTCGGTCCTAAATTCCAATTGAAATAAAAATCCCACTCGACCACCGCAGCTGGCTCTGAACTTTGTCCAGGGCAATCGTATCGGCGGCTTTGTATCTTATTCTTGTTCCCATTCTCATCAGTGTATCCACGTCCGCGATTCGCGACAGACCATCGGCCGGATTAACGCTGTGATTTTAATTTTGGATAAGCTTGAACTTTTTTCTTATTCAATTTCATTACCAATTAAATTGCCTTACCGAACAAGCTTTGAAATGTCACGAAGAAAATTTGAAGGTAAGATTTTTTTGAAATCTTTTCAAATTTAAAAAATTTATCTTTTATCCACGGATCTGGCATCAATTTTATTAGTAATTCCTAATAATGGGGTTTTTCGTATACAATTTTTTTGACATTTCTTATTTTTGACTTTTTCTCTCGATCGATTTTTTTTAATGACTTTATTAATTATTTATTTTTATGGCGTTACCCATCCGGATATGCGTATTGGATTTTATGGTTTACGTGCAAAATTGTAATTTTTATGGTTCTCGGTGTCGTTTTATTATTGTTTATGTCTTTTTTATGCTTAGTTTATACTGCTGGTAAAGAAACTCGAATACTTGGCAAAAGTCAATATTTTGAGTCTTTCTTGATTTATTGATGTTGTCACGGAAGTAGGTTTGCGAATGTTAATCGTAAACGTGCTGTTACGGTTTAATCATGATCGAACTTTTTTTGTGCAATCTGGTAAAACCGATCGAGCCTATCCCGGTGATTGTGGCTCCGAAGGGCACCGTATGACAAGACTTTCCGTAATTCCCGATATCTATACGCGTATCTTTATAAAAATAGCACGTTTTTCCTTCTAGTTTCAATGAGAAACTTTCAAGGTTAATACGTACGATTATTCTTTGTTACACCCGTGGAAACACATGTTACGTGAAGACAAGATACGAAGGAACTGTGTGAATATAAGATACAAAAGAAGCAGTTCCTTCCTTACCTTACGGCTGTCTAAATGGAAATAATGGAAGAAGAAGACGCGAGCATAAAATTCAGCATAAATGAAAAGGAGGCAAAGGATGAAATATAAAAATATAAATAATAAATATCTGACGCGGACTGTACGTACATAGGGATTTTCGATAGGTATCGCTAAAACTAATAGCCACGACCGGATGGCGCTGGGAGTCGGAGTAATAAAATTTTTCTCTGAATCTGAAATTAATATCGGAAGGAGGACGAAAAAGAAAAAAGACCTTCCCCCTCCCCGAGGATTTACGAGCATTCGAGGATTTTAATTAAAGTGACGTTCAACCAACTTTTTTTTGTCTCTTCATATTTTTCTCTTGCCTCTACAGAATTTTGATGTCGACCTGTATTGGAAAATTAAACATTTAAACCAGCATTCAATAGGCGGTCGAACAGACTCAGAGTGACAAAGAATTTTTCGATCAAAAGTCAGTGGCTCGTTTACGTCTTTCAGATGTGCAAAATAGAAGGTTGCAGACAGTTGAATGTCTTGAAGACGTCATTTCCGGTTGTGATTAACATTAGGTAAATTTACGAAAGAGGACAATTACTTGTGCAGTATTTTTTTTCTTTCTCTAACGTGAGGTTTCCTTTAACGGATATGACGTACCTTTATGATTTAAGAATTGTAATGCTAACCTAACCTCAATGCCAACGTACCTTCGTAAGCCAATGCTCGACTTCGTTCGGTTGATATGCAAACTCAACGCCTTGGGGCCCTGACCCCCCTTTTATTATGCATTCCCTGCCAGTTACGCTTCCACACAATTCGTTCGCCTTGTTCGATTATTAAGTTTTTCATTTAAGACTTTTGTCATCAGTCATTTATCACTTGTCAGGTCCTTACGATCCCACTGAAAGGACCTATCGGTTTTTGTTTTCACTGGAAATCAATTCGCAGTTGGTACAAGTGATCGTGCCTAGGGACTCTGTACAAATATTGAAATTGAATAAGACCGTTATAAATATTCCCCTAGGACTTTTTCGATTAATTCGTAAAAACGAAAGGATCTGATGATATACGCGAGTCTCTTGATTTTTGGAAATTATATCACGAAGATTGACATCCTAAAATAATTAATATTGTCATCGTGTAATGATTACGAAAAAATTGACTTATAAAATATCAATTAACCTAAAACTTCTATAAAAATTAGCCTAAAGGTACATTTTGATCAAGGATTTTATTATTTTTATAATTTCGTTACACGCGGGTACGATGTCTAAAGCCGAGTCTAAAAGCTAAAAGCCAAGTATTAAATTAATTTACGAGGCTTTCGATGCCAGAATTGTCATTAAACGAACATTGATACCTAAGTTTCCACAAATATGATAAACTGATAAGAAAGTTCTGATTTTCTCATTCAGTTGGTACGCCTTGATATTTCTACTCGCCAATGTATCTGCTTCTACCAAAGAATGTCACTGCCATCTTGATTTCTCCATGCGATCAACTTTAGTTCCGCTTGTAAATGCAGATGGCGTTACTGTATCCCCGCGTTACCATTATAGAGTAACCTTCGGCTATTTGTAAACTCGTTCAGAGAGACACGGTTTCCAATTTTAATCCGACCAACGGTCGGACGTAAATT